GCGTTCCTTCAGCAGGAGGATGGAGGTAGTGAGAAGGCACATCTGCAGAAAGCTTCTCGGCCAGGAAGCAACATGCATCTGCTCCTGCCACTGACAAGCCCTGGTCACACGGCTCCTGCTTAGTGCGTGGGGACTGGGGGATGCTGTCCCGGCCGGGCCGTCCAGGGCCAGGCAGTGGCTTCCCAGTAACAACTACACTGTGGAGGGAGCACGCACCTCACGCTGGCTAGCTCTCTTCTGGGGCCTGACGGCGTGTCTGGATGCTCAAGAACCCAGAGGCGGCCAGGTGGCTGCAGCAGGAATAGGTGTGGGAGGGTTGGAGGGGATAGGAGTTGAGGTCAGAGATAACGGGGCAGACTTTGTAGGGCCACACAGGCCATTCTTCTTTTTTAAAAAAAATACATTTTATTGCATTTTTCACAGCAATGGAAGGGAAAGGATAGAGAGTTAGAAACATCGATGAGAGAGAAACATCGATTAGCTGCCTCCTGCACACCCCCCACTGGGGATGTGCCCGCAACCAAGGTACATGCCCTTGGCCGGAATCGAACCTGGGACCCTTCGGTCCGCAGGCCGATGCTCTATCCACTGAGCCAAACCAGTTAGGGTGCACACAGGCCATTCTTGGGCCTTTGGCTTGTCCTCTCTGTGAACTAGGAGCCCATGGAGGTCCCGAGACTGGGAGGGACATGACCTGCCTGGGTTTAACTGGCTCCCCCAGCAGCAGTGTGGAGCACAGGCCGCAGGGGCAGGTGGGAGCAGGGCCTGGGGGAGGCTGTTGCCCTGTGGTCCAGGCATGGGGCCTTGGATGAGGACAGGAAGTGGTGCAATCAATACATTTTGAAGATGAAGACAACAGGACTCCCCGGTGGGCTAGATGTGGGTGCAAAGGAGAACGGAGTCACGGCCGAGTCCCAGGATGCAGCTCGGGCCCTGAGAGGACGATGAGAAATGGCGGGCTGGAAGTGTGTGGCATCAGCAGTTTCTCAGTGGGTTGGGAAGCCACTCAGACCTCCAAGCCTCTCAGAGCCTCAGTTCCTCGTCTGTAAAATGGGAGTAAGCACACTTACCTGGCAGGTGGCTGAGAAGATTACCTGAGAGGACAGCTGTGAGTGGCCCGAGGTGAATGAGGTCACAGGGTGTGGGGTCAAGGGTGAGGGGGGCAGCTTGCTGAAGAGAGGAGCCAGTGGTGGGGAAGGGGGTGGAAGGTGGAAGGGCCTTATTCCAACTTTTGAGCTCCTGCCCCCGCCCCCCCCATGGTTAAGTCACTGCGATGGAGCCTCTGGTGCTGCGGAGACGGCCCAGCCTCCGCATGTGGGACAAACCCCAGTCCGCAAGGAGCTCAGGGTCTAGGACCCCGTTTTCACTGCTGGCTCAGCTACTCCTTGCCAAGGGACTTGGTCCGAGGACCTCCAGGTCTGGTTTTAGGTCAGTGGGCTGGGCTGTGGGCCTCGTTCCAGAATGTCGGGAAGCATGGGGTGCGTGCAGGTGCCTGGACCAGGGCAGCTCCAGGGCCAGGGGACTGTTGGGGCCACATACCCTGCTGAAGTGGGAGCCCCCGCCCCCCAACTTGGGTGGGTAACAGACACCCTAGTAACACCCCTCATGGGGAGGCAGGAACACTTTTATTCCCATCAGTGATGCTGATGGCGCTTGACCCTTTACAAAGAAGAATGTTAGGAAAAAGGAAGAGGGGCGGGGGCATAGGAGTCTCCATTCTCAATGCCGCCACCCTCTCCCCTTCCCTCCGTCAGTGCCTCCAGACCGGAGGGGGCGAGGGCTTCATCCTGGCCAGGCTGGCACCACGGCTCCCAGGCAGGGTGTCGCAGGCGGAGCTGAGGTGAGGGCGGGGCAGCCCAGGCCCAGCAAAGCTCTGCTGCACACAGCCGAGCCGTGTGACGGTGTGACGGGCGGGTTTCCCCTCGGTGACCAGTCCTGGGCTTTCAGCGCCCACCGAGGCCTCAGGGGGGCCCCTGCTGGCTCCGCCTCTCCTCCAGCGCCCTGCACACCCACATGGAGACCACGGCCGCGTTGCCATCGTTGAACTGCACGATGAACGGGTGGCCCTGCAGAGAAGCGGAGAGGCTGAGACCGGCAATCCCCAGACTTGCACTTCACTACGCTTGCCAAGGCCTGTTCTCAGCCTGGATCTTATTTTTTCTCCCCAATAGCCCCATGAGGTGTGGTGGGCAGCGAGCAGCCCCATTTCACAGCTGGAGGACTGAGGCCAGGCAGCGAGGCGATGTGCGCGCCTGGAGCACTGGAGCCACTGAGGCTCTGCCTGGTGCTGCCACCTGCCCCTGAAGCACCAACCGGCCCGAAAGCTCCCGAGCATGAGGCCGGTCCTGACTCCACACTGCCCCTCCCTCGGCCCAGCGTCACTCCAACAGCTGGCCGCCAAGGCCTGGCTCCGAGCTGCCAGCGCCCAGCCCAGCGGCTGCCTGGCGACCACAGAACCACTGGCCAGAGGCTGTGTGGATCCCTCCGGTTCCCTTCATGGTCGAAACCTCTAGGAAGAGGTCACCATCTACAGTGGGGGAGGCAGGTGTGTCAGAGGGAGAGGGCTGTGCTGTGTGCGCAGACGTGTGGTTCCTGGCGGGAAGCTGGGCCTGGGCTTTGCCTCAGGCTCTCACCGACTTCGCCATAGGCAGGCTGGGTCGTATCCAGCCAGTGCCCTCCCTGCTGCCCCGAAGAATCAAGGTTCGCTCTCACAATTTTAGGGCCTCCTGGGAGTTCCTAGGGAAGGCCAGAAAACAGCAGGGGCCACGGGAAGTCAGCCTCCTCCCTCCTCCGAACCTGTGGCTTCTCTGCTAAAGAATGCACACCTGGCAGCTCCCCCCGCCAAGCAGTAGCCGGTCCCAGGAAGCCACCGTGGGTGAGCGGAGAGAAGGGGGCTCCCTGTGCCTTTCACAGCCCAGCTCCTCCTTCCCCTCCCGAACGTCCAGCTCCAGCTGCCTTGCTCCCTCCTGTTTTCTGTGCCTCTCCCGGGCCCCTTCCTGCCCCTGAGCTGGGTTCTCAGCTCGGCTTTCCCAACCCAGCCAGTCTTGACCTGCAGGCCTGGGGCTGGCCAGCCGCTGGCCACATGCTTGGGGCTCCGAGCTGCTTCCAAACGAGCCCATCGGGTGGCTGTGAGGGATGTGGGTCCAGACACCAGGCCAGGGCAGGGGAAGGGGCAGCTTGGTCAGACCTGAGATGTCTCTGGGGACAGGAAGGAAGGAAGCCCAGGCTTTCCCACCTGGGGCTGACACTGTGTCTCTTTACCCAGCTTTCCCAAGTCAGGCAAGAAAAACCGCCCCTGGAGAATCCTGCATTGCTTGCTCTAGCTCAGAGGCACGGGGAACCTGTCAGAGGTGCAGGGGGAGGAAAGCAGCTTAGAGGGTGCTGGGGGCACCCAGCCCAAGGCAGGGACTCACCGAGGCCACCAGGGAAATCTGCCTGGAGCCCAGTTGGGTGCCTCCTGTGATCTGCCCACGCACTCTGTGTGGGACCCCAAGATACTTGCAGGACCCCAAGGGAGCAGGTGCCTGGTTCCGATTGCGGCTGGGAAGGGGAGGTGCAATCAGGTTGGGTGGGTGTCCTCAGGCAGTGGGTGGGGGAGCTGAGGCAGGAGAGGCCAGATGGGACTCTGTCTTGGCTCCCACATGTCCTCCCTGTATATACGCCCGGCCTACACCTGCCCTCTAAGTCGCTGCCTAGAAAGGGAATTCTTCCTGCACTTACTCCTTTTCAGGAGGCTCAGGAGAGGCGACCTGTGCCCTTGTGAAGAACAAAGGGAGAAGCTGTGCTCCAGAGCCCACGGCCCCTCCCGCCAAGCCTGGGTACCAGTGTCACTTTCCCAGAATGCCCGGTGACTTTGGGGCCCATATGCTCCATCTCCGTTATCATCTGCTCGGGAACAAGCAGAGCGGAACTGCAGGAGGGAGAGGGGAGCATTCCTCCAGTTGGGAAGGCTGATGGCCGCACTGCAGGGAAGCATTCTGCCCAAGTGCCCTGGGAGGGGAGGAGGGAGCAGAGTGGGCATCCAGGGCACTGGTGGAGACTGTCCCCTTCCTGCCCTCCTTGGCTGGGAGGCGACTCCCATCCCCTGCGTATCCCTTGGGCTTTACCCCACCCTTCAAAGGGAGTGACATGGTTCTGTCCTCAGCTAATGTTGACTGGTTTGGGAGGGAAATACCTGCTGAGCATTTGTATGTCTCCTTGGGAGATGAAATACTGCCATTAGTGACAACAGGGATGGATCTTGAGAATATCATGCTGAGCAGAAAAAGTCAAGAACCATATGATTTCACTCAGATGTGGCATATGAAACTGAAAGCACAAAATGAGCACACAAGACAATCAGACAAAACCTCACAGAGACAGGAAAGCATGGAACTGACTGAGGATTCTCAGAGGAATTGGGTGTGTGTGTGTGTCGGGGGGGCGGGGGGGGGCGGGCTGAAGCCGCTCCAGGCACCCAGAGAATTTGGGAGCTGCTGGCAGCGTGGATCACAACGTGATGGAACATACGAGAAGCCGGTGTGTGGGGAGTAGGGGCAGAGACAGCTGCTTGAGGGAAGCAGAGCAGGACAGAAGGGTGTTGGAGACCCCGGGTGGGATACCGGCCTGGCAGCATCTCTGCCTGCAGGGTCCACGAGCACCTCACAGTCTAGGGACAGGCACCAAGTCAGGGTGGGCACAGTCTAGGGTGGGCACTTTACAGGTAAGGAAATGGTTGGCCTGCCCGGGTTCCCTGAGCTGGGGCTGAATCAGAAGTCTCTATCCCAAACCCACTGCCCAGGGCTCTCCCGGAGCCGACCTGGGGGGCATCCAATTGCAGTTTCCTCTCACCTATTTCCAGCAGAGGTGGGACCGAGGCTGCAGGCTCAGGTCCCGACCTCCATCAGTGCATCCCTTGGACACACTGGGAGAGTGCTCTGTCGCAGTGGTGGGTCACTCTGACTCAACTCTCCCTCCTCCCATCAGCCCCGTGTGAGAAGCAGGGAAAGCACACCACCACCCACTTCACAGAGGAGGAGACTGAGTGGGAGCTGAAGTGACTAGGTTAAGTGCTGGGCTGAACAGAGTTCTGGTTTCTACTCTGGTGCATCCTCAAGGCTGGGCTGCATCCCTGTGACCTTCCAGGTGTTTCCCTCTTCCTCCCCGAGTCTGGCTGACACTCCTGCAGCTCCTACATGTGATGCAAGGATTCCTCATGGACTGAATGAAAACAAAATCTGGTGGACAATTCTGGGGAAAGCAGGCCACCTGGAGGTGCCTGAGTTCCCAGGTGGCTCCAGGCCTGAGCAGAGGCCGGCCAGCCAGCTGCGTTAGGGGTCCGGCAAGACCAGGTACCTGGAAGTGGATGGAAGTGGCACCAAGTAACACCTGTACTGAGAGCAGCACCATGGACAGAGTGCTGTGGGCCAAGCATTTGCCAAGGGCTTTGTTCTGATTCTCTCACCGAACCCCACATTCTGGAGGTGCACACAGCCCTGCATCTCCGTCTGCGTGGTGAGGAAACAGACACTTCAGGGGCCCATCCAAGGTCAGTGAAGCAAACGGCTGGGTGGACTCACACCGTGAGTCTCCTGACTCCAAAAGCCACAGGCAGGACCATGTGCTCACCTGCACCTGCAGCCAGACAGCTGGCCTCGCAGGCCCTCTCGGGTGTCTCTGAGGCCCTGCAGCACTTGGGGGAAACATGCTCCCTCCTAGGCAGAGGAATCGAGGTGCGGACAAGCTCTCCCAGCCCCATCATGCTGCAAGCAACAGTGGGAGCGTGGTGTGGCCACCTCCCTGGAGCCAGCATGCCCACATGCTGCTTGTCAAGAGCACCCCCCACCCCAGGCGACTGCCCGGACACCCAGGCCTCTGTCCTCCATGCGGAGAGCGCTCTGCGGAGGCTGGCAGGGCATGTGCCAGGCCAAAGCTGCTGAGTGATCTCACTGCCCTCATCTCCAGGCAGTGGGAGCCACTCTCATTTCCTTGATTCTCTCAGGGCCAATTGCAACAGTTACATCGGCACGGGTTGAATTATTATGGTCCACAAACTTCGCCACAGAAGATGGAGACATAATGAAGGGAAAAGGATGGGATTATAAGGGCAGGATGGATCCAATAGTGGGACACGGGGGAGAGACACGAGTCAACAACAACCAAAGACAGCTGGTGTCACCTGGGGTGGACGCCTCCACCAGTGGGGCTGAGGAGCAAATCGTGCTGACGCAAAGGAGGGTGCTGGCGAAGACCCAGCAACTCAGGAATCGGAGCTGCCGTTTCCAGGCACGCTGTCCAGTAATCCACCAGAGTCGCCTCTCTTCTTTTGTAATAATGTCCCTAATTTTTACCCACCCGTTTCATCATGCTGACTGACAGCAGGGCACTCCCGAGCCCCTCCCACGTGGCAGCTCTTCCCGTCCACTGAAGGAGGCAGGGATGGGAGGGTGGATGTGCCCATGTGCAAGCAGGAATGGGGCTGAGCCTGTGGTGGTGGGTAAGTGCTGCCTAAGGCTCAGGTGTCTGGACTCCTGGTCCAGTGCTCATTCACTGACACCTCACTCTTTGCTCTCAATTGATTTCTGAGTTTCATCCCAAATAGGAATTTACCTATTTGGGGTCTCCACACTTTTCTTCTCTCATATAACTCCCTAAAGAACACTATGCATTTGAGTCACTGAATAACTTACTGGAGTGGTTGCAAGGCCCTCAATTAGTGGTCCGATGGCATGACGAAGTTATCCGTATATTCTGTATCTATTACGAGCACCTCTTGTGCGCCTCTGGCTGCCCTACATCGGCACCTGACCTTGAACCCTCAGCACCCGCACTGATAGACAAAATAAACTGAGGTGCCATGAAACATGACGTGGGGTGAGGTTCCAGAGGTGGAAAGTGGCAAAGTCAGGGTCTGCATCCAGGACTCTTCTGCCATGAAGGACGCCAACTACTGTGCTCTCTCAGGTCGGGAACAGTGAGTGTTAAAGTTCTACTTTAAAAAAAATAGAGTATCTGTACATTACAGGTGCTCACCAAGTACTGTTAAACTAATAAGCTGAAGTTAGGATGGCAAAAAGGCATATCCAGG